TAGGGGTTCTATAAGGGAATGAAGGAATATGGCTTAGATTCTATAGGGCTTCATATGAGGGCTTAAGCTATATATTCCTGAATTAAAGGGTATTGGGCTCTCTGGGAGGCTTTGTCGGGGTATCGGGTTGAGGATGCAGAGGCATGAAGCACAACAGATGTTACACAAACGAAAACAGCCCAAAACCCGCACCTGCGAACTTCAAGTCCTAAATGCCAAACGAAACCAGAATCTAAGCCATATTCCTTCATTCCCTTATAGAACCCCTATAGATCCCTTTAAGGATCCCTTAAAGGAGCCCTAGGTATTCCTTAATCCTAGACTTCAAAACTTCCGCCACGGGCGCAGCCACCAGGAACGCGTCAAGGATAAACCTTGAATTCGCACACACGCAAAGAGATGCAGGCACAAACACCTCCAGCCAACTGCATAAACGGGCTTAGAGGGTTTAGGGTTGAGGGGTTTTGGGCATAGGGGGCCTTTGCAAATCTCAATCGGCGCTTGTACATCACTGGGTTCCTGAATAGCCCCTTTATAACAGGGGCACCCTCTGTCCTACTATTCGGCTTTAAAAAGTGTCCCCGAAAGCAAAAAGGGGAAAAGGGCATCACTCAGGAACCTAGAAACACTCCAGACATGGGTGTTCCTTATTACAATCATGGTATAATGGGCCCTCAAACCTTATTCTAATTTTTAAGGCCGCTATAGTAAACACTCTGCACATGGAAAAGATCTTCCACCCACAAGCAACGCTCTGCAAACGAACAAAATCACTCCAGAATACATATCTTACCTGGACCCTATGAAAATACGCTTTTACGGACTTATATAGGGGAATTGTAATGAGGAGCCCAAAACAAGGTAGGTTCTTTAGGGTCCAGGTGTGTTTAGGGTTGGGTTGAGGTGTCTGATACAACTAATGGGGCTTTGCCGCTCCGAAGACAAAGGTTCTAAACCCTAAGCTTGACAGCCTAAGCCCCTGTAGCCGCACTTAAAGGATCATGGGACTTAGTAAGTATGGTTATAAGTACCTTAATTGGGGTTATAAGTAACTATAAGTGTAGTTACCCTCATAATAACCCCAGTTACTACTGTACGTCCCATGATCCTCCAAGCAGGGTTGGGTAACAGAAACTACAGCTTTGAACGCCACCGTAGAACATCCGCAACACCTGAACATCGAGGCCCCCGACGCCTTGCATAATAGAAGTGCTATATAATAGAGCTATCCGACCCACAATATCTCTAAAGCCCTAAACCTCGTAACCCCACGACCCTTGAAGGACAGACACAAAACAAAAACCATAAGCCCTGGTTTTCATCCAAGGCATCCAAGGATCCAAGCATTGCAGAAGTTGGTGAGACCGTGCGCCAATAATCGAAATATCAGTTCCTAGCAACATCGAGGGAGGGTTTAGGGCTGAGGTTTTTAGTGTATCAGGTATAGGACGAGTGTTTCTTGTGTTTTCTCGTTTTCATTGTTGTAGGTTCCCCGGCGGTGATCCTAAAGCCACAGAGCCCCAAGCCCTAAAGCGAGGGTTCAACACTGAATACGCCCTTGTTGGCTTCTACCCAGGATGCTGCGTGGATTGGGCTGTCGAAAACCTCGGGCTCCATGTACATATCTAGTCGTAAACACTCAACCCTAAACCCTAAACCTAGACCCCGAAACCCTTACATAGTTGAAACTACCTAGGAACTTGGAGCTTTCGGAAAGCACAAGCATGAACTTCAAATCAAAAGCCAGAGGACCGATTCGGGTGTGAGGTTACCAGAAAAGGAAGCTTCTTTCAACGAAGGAACGGCCAGCGTTACTTACGAAGTCTCTGGGCTGAGGCATGTAAGGGTCACCGTGTATCGACATCAGGTGGTAAGCATGTGTGTAGGTAGCTATGTATGTAACTACATATGTAAGCAAGTTTATGTGTGTGTGAGCACTTGCATGCATGCATGCATGTATGTATGTATATTGTATGCTTACATGCATGTACATACGTACACATGTAGGTTTGTATGTATGTATGTATGTATGTATGTATGTGCGTATGCACGTGTTCATGTATGTATGTATGCATGTATGTATGTATGTATGCATGTATGTAAGCTTGCATAAATGTACGTATGTATGCACATGTATGCATGCATGGATGCATGCATGTCTTAGAGGTTGGTAGGGAGGCAGGCAGCCGGGTAGGTAGGTAGGTTGGTTGGTATTTTTATGTGCATGCAAGTATGCATGCATGCAGGTCGTTAGGTAGGCATGTGCGTATATATGTATGCACGCATGTATATACATATGTACCTTTGCATGCATGCCTTCTTGCATACAGGTTTGCAGGCGTGCCAGTATGTATGCATGCATGCGTGCGTGTGTGTGTGTGTGCGTATGTGTGGATGGATGGAGGGAAGGATTTCGGAAGGATGGTTATGATGAATGAATGCATGCATCTATGTACGTATCTATGTCTGCGCTCTCTTTATGCCAAAATAAGGGAGCGAATGAATGATTGATTGAATGAGCGAGGGTGGGCGGGAGGGCGGGAGGGAGGGAGTGGGGAGAAAGAGAGAGAGAGAGAGAGAGAGAGAGAGAGAGAGAGAGATAGAGATAGAGATAGAGATAGAGATAGAGATAGAGATAGAGATAGAGATAGAGATAGAGATAGAGATAGAGAGAGGGAGCATGAAATGCCTGAAATATATGGACTGAGTCAATGCGACTGAATGTATGCGTGTGTATATATGTATGTATGTATGTATGTATGTATGTATGTATGTATGTATGTTAAGAATGCACTCTCGAATTCAGATGCTCAATCGCAGTCCACCTGCATCCCAAATTCCAGGAGCCAAGCCCCCAAACCCTTGCCCCTAAACCTCAACCCTAAATGCGATAAAAAAATTCCCTGAACCACCCTATAAGCCCCAAATTCCCGGATCCTCAAGGCGATAAGCTTTGAGTCGTCTGCATCCAAGACACGACGGTGTAAAGGAACCAGAAGCTGAGTTCGACCTCTTCAGGTTCCCTTAAGGGTTCCTTTGAAAGGAGCAGGGTTCCTTAAAGGGCTCCTTAAAGGGATCTTTAGGGGTTCTATAAGGGAATTAAGGAATATGGCTTACATTATAAGGGGCTTCATTTGGGTAGTTGTCCAAAGTAAGGTCCTTTTTTGGGGGTACCCTGAATATTAGGTGCCGTATTATCATGGGGCTCCAAAAAAGGGATCATAATTTTGACGACCACCCAAAACGGTTCCTTGGAGGGTTCTGTACTGGGGTTCTTTAAAGAACTCCGTTAAGGGTTCTTGAGCGAGCTCCTGTACGGTTTCGGTTAAGGTTTCCTTAACGGGTTCCTTTAACGGTCCTTTAGAGAGTTCCTTTAAATGCTATAAGGAGTCTGTAGGGTCTGTATGTTTTGGAGGTTCGGGCTGCGAGTTTGGCCAGCAGGGCCAAAATGGGCTGAGCGTCTTTGGACTTTTCAGCATGCTCAAACCCTACGTCTCAACCGAAATCCTGACCCATGGCATACCCTAGTCGTACTCAGTCATGTGGGTAGCTCTTGAAATCAGTGTGAAGGTTTAGGGGTGGGGAGGGGGGCTTTCTGTGCTGCTCAATAAAAACACTAGGCCAGACCGACCATGAAGAGTCGGTTTAAGTCGAGGGTTTAAGGCTTCGGGCTACTATGTATCAGGCTTTTCTAGGCTTCGGGCTACTATGTATCAAGCTTTTCTAGGACTCTATAAACTTTGGCTGACTTCTGAACCCCTCCTAAAATTTGAACTTTTTAGCCTCCTTATTCTAGCTCATATAGAAACCCAAAAAGTTAAAGTCCTAAGAGCCAACCAGAAGAACGCCAAGTAAAGCTTCTCTACGGGCTTAATGTTTTGGGTTACCATAAAGGGGCTGTTAAAACTCGACTATAAGGGCTCTGTCAGGATTGTCTAGGGGCCCGGTGGCTTCAGGATTTCACGTTAAGGGTTTAAGGTTTTTAGGGTTCAGGGTTTAGGGTTTTAGGGTTTAGGGGTTTAGGGTTTAGGGTTAAGGGCTTAGGGTTTTAGGTTATTGGGTTTTAGGGTCGTCGTCGCCACCGGCAGCCGGGCTGTGATGTAGCGAAGCACAACCAAAAACATAGACTTTGTTTCATTGAAGACCAACTCCAAAACAAGTATGCAAGTATGATACTCCAGAACCCTACGTAAAGGGGCAGGTTCTTTTGGTTCCCCGAACGGTCCTAGGTGCTGTTATGGGGGATACTTCCCCAAACCAAAACAGTAATCCCGAATTTACAAACCCTACACTCTACCATATAGGAGTTTCCGAACATTAGGGGTACCTTATTATGGGTCCATATAAGAAGGCTGCTACTATTTAGGGTACTATATTTTCGGAAACTGCCATATAGGTACTTAGGACTTAGGACCCTGTGGGATTCCAGTTGGGGTTTGGGGCTTAAATAGGACCCCCAAACGACACATAAGCACAAATTAAGATAGGGATATCCCATATAAAGCCGGTTATAAGGAAGCCCAATAAGGTAGGGACATCCCTATAGAATGGTTATGCTTATGTCCTTTTTGGGTCCCTAAGTTTAAGGTTTGGGGTTTGGGGTTCCCAGAGAGCTCAATACCCCTTAATTAAGGAATACAGCTTAAATCATCATATGAAGCCCCATATAATTTAAGCCGTATTCCTTAATTAAGGGGTATTGGGCTTTCTAAACCTGTCTGCCTGCGGCTCTTGACACACAGACGGCACCTTACTACGCGGATCATTGATCCTGGTGTGAAGTTGAAGCGGAACCTGAGTGCACACTTTCAAGGTCAGCGTCTTTGTCACACAGATACACTGGCTTCGCAGACAATCTGCTCAGAAAACGATATAAATTATAAATGATTGCAGATCGAACAGATGCACCCGGCTGACAGAGGCAGTCAAAACTTCGCACGGTTCTGCCTTCTTGGTTCCATGCGGGACATGGCCTCCAAAGCCTCAGCAACAAGATCTTCTTATGAGGAGCGGAACAGCCGCCTTTTCTTCGGCAGTCGCTCAGGATCAACAGTTTCATCGGGCTCTCCAAGCAGCTTCCGTACAGCTGCAGGGAGACTGCCTTTCTTGAGCATGTCCTGAACTTTCTTGTCTGCGGCGCCGAAAGAGGCACATGCCCTCTCTAGGGTCTGTAGTCCCTTGAGGGCTGCAGCCTCTGCGATAGCAACGAAGCTGTTGGCATCGATCAGGTCACGAAGTGCAACGCACAGAGTCTCCACGACACCCTGGACGTTCCAGCGATGCGCCAAGTCTTGAATGCGCCTGCTGCTGCCCTCCTTCATTGCAGACTGGAGCATCGCCTTCAAGACGGGCGAGGCCAACATGAGGATCTGGTCGTGCGCCGTCACCTCCCCGTCCGAACCTTCGAAGATCACGTTGTGCGAGGAGGTCAAGTCACGCATGGACTCCCACAGACTGAGAGTACTTTGGGGCACGGTAACATCTGCAGCATGACTCTTGGCAGCGGTCGAGGACGACAGCAGCCAGATCACCTTTTTCAGATACTCCTCGTTTTGAGACCAGTCCGCACCGCCTTTGCGCAGTTGCATCTGTTTCAGCCACGCAACAGCAAACGACATTGCATTCTGTCCAGTATACTCAATGCGGATACCTGTGCTTTCCTCCTCGTCCTTTATAAACAGTGTGTCACCGCAAATTTTACCGAGAGCTCTCTGCTCTGGATCAGCCCCAACCTTCAGCAACCACTCCAAGATCTTGAGGCACTTAGCTTGTTTAGCTTTCGTCTCGCTAAGACCGTCATTAATCGTGCAAAGAAGTGCCGGCATTCTCATGTAACTGGGACCCAAAGGCTGAGACCAGTCAAATCTGGGCGGGGTGTACTTTTGCAATCCGTCCAAATCTCCCAGTTCGATGAGGCCGTGAACCATATCGGCATGGATCGTCGAAGCCATTATCCGCAAGCAGGGGTGCGCTGCAGACCGTAGACCCCACTTCCGGAACTCCAAAAACTTAGTGCACGGAAGTGGGTCAGATCAACTCAGTTCCTACGTCGCTGTCCCATGAAGAATGGCTTACTGCAAGGGGTTCAGGGTCGAGGTTCGTTGCTCGTACACTTAGATGCTGGAGTACAAAGCACTGGAAAGCTGCAAACAAAAGCGGAAAGGCCGACATGCCAGATGCCGAAAGAACTCGTAACATGAATATCTCGCATGTATCGACATATGATCTGAAGCAAAGGTCAGTGTAGGGCCCGGGGCAAGCGTAAACCAAGCTGAGCCTGCAACCCTGAAAGCCTCGATTCTGCGCACTCCTTCTGAAACTCCGTGCAACCGATCCCCGACTACCCAAACATGCATCTCTACCGCAAAGCCGATTAACAGAAGGCACATCCTTAAAACCCAAGTTTTCTTGTGAACATGTGTGATAAAGCAGACTAGGACTACCACCTAGGGGTCTAAGGCAAGCATTCAGGGTCGTGCAAACCTTCCCGAGCTGATATAATGATTCAAACTTTTTTTGCAAGTCTTCCTGACTCCGGTGGCTGGTAGGTTGATCTAAGGGTTTAGGGGTTTAGGGAAGGAGATCACTTATTGAGTGAGTCCCCGAACCCGCAGACAGTTCCACATGCTCTAGAGTCAAGCACCGTTGCGTCTCTGCCAAAACTTCTCGCAGGGCTGCGGTTCATCATTCAGTGCTTCGAATGCCCATAATAAGGACCCAAAAAAGCCGATTTAAGAAAGTATAGTCCCCTACACCCCTCCCCCCAAACCCTAAACCCCCCCTAAACCCTAAACCCTAAAGCCCCAAGGACCCCTATGAGTTTAGGGCTTCGCGTCGTCTTCGCAAGGATCCGGGGGCCGCGCCCAAGGCGGCCAGGGGCTCTCGCCTGGAGTCGCTGGAACCCAGAGCGCCCAAGACCCCTTAATAGGGGTTCCTTAAAAGGGTGCCATAAAGGGATCTACAGGGGGGTTCTGTAAGGGCCTTAATTCAGGAATACCCAGGGCCTAGGGTTCCTTTAAGGGATCTACAAGGGATCTATAGGCTTAGGGTTTTGGGGATTCCAATACCCCTTAAGGAATACCTAGGGCTCCTTAGAGGGATCTACAAGGGATCTATAGGCTTAGGGTTTAGGGATTCCAATACCCCTTTATCAAGGAATACAGCCTGAATCATAATATGAAGCCCTATAAAATTAAAACCATATTCCTTAATTAAGGGGTATTGGGCTCTGGGAAGACGTGGTGTGCTGCTCCCAAAGGGTCCTAAGTACCTATATAGTGGAATGTAGGGTTTCTACACTAGGAATTTAGGGAAATATTCCCCATAACAGTACCTAGGGCCCTCTGAGCGTGGTGTGCTCCTCTGGGGTTTAGGGTTTGGGTTTAGGGTTTTAGGGCTTTAGGGGTTTAGGGTTTAAGGTTGAGGGTTTTAGGAGTGTAGGGGTCAGGGTTACAGGGTTTAAGGTTTAGAGCTTAAGGGGTGTAGGGGTTTGGGTTTAAGGTTTAGGGTTTTAAGGGTTTAGGGCTACATAGGAGTAATCTAGGAATAAAAAAGGTGCCCTTTTTGGTTTAAAGGGTGTTATAAGGGAACTTAAACCCCAAAAACGGGCATAAGGGCCTACTCTGGGTCCTAGGCTGTTCCGGGCTTCGGCCACCCTATTGCTCCAAGTAGCCCTAAACCCTGAACACTAAACCCTAGTCTCTAGATCCGAATGCCTAAAACCCTAAACCCAAATCCCTGGATCCAAATCCCCAATTAAACGCTTAACTCTAGCCGCACATGCAGAAGCCATAAATAGTATGGTCGGTATAGGCCCAGAAAGCTTAAACGATGCATCCTAGGAGCCTTCTGGTGAGGGTGTAGGGCTTCGGGAAGATGGTCGTGCGGGGCCAGGGGATACTAGTACTACTGGGGTATATTAGTGGGAAAGCTTACACCCTAAACCCTAAACCCTAAACTTTAAACCCTAAACCTACTTATGCGACTGGCAGATATTCAGGGCCCTCTATTTGCGCGAGTTGGAGGGCCTCAAGTTTAAGCAAGCCGGGTTAGGGTGTCAAAGGTTGCACAAGGGTCTACCTCTTTGGGTTTACCTTAACCCTGAATAACCTACGTTTTTTAGGGTTCCTTAATAAGATTTCCTTATATAAGTCCTTAAAAATGTAGGTTATTCCGGATTAAGGTAAGGTTTAGGGACATCGCTTGGGTAGCGATCTGTGAGCTGCAGCCGAACTGTGACTCAGGAATACAGTGAATCCCATAAAGTTGGAAACCGGATTAAGGCCAACTAGTGCTGCGATTCCCTATACATGACTCTTAAGCATTGAGGCTATTGGGTTTCCAACTTTATGGGGTTTACTGTATTTCATGCAGGGGTGACAGGCTGAAGTATTGCCTTGCTCACAGGCCAGGACCACAGAAGGAGCACAAAACGGTAAAAAACAACATATGCACGCCAACAGATATCGAGTCGAGCTTCGTGGAACAAACCCTTGCCATGAATACATGACAGCCTCTTGCACACTACGGTTGATGGTATGACCCTACGCCATGGGAGTAATGCAATATTCCTTAGTATGGGTCATGCAGGATTTATACCATCAACCGTATCTTCGTAAACAAACTACGGTATTCACAATATCACATGCACCGCCGCCACCGCCAGAGCCAAAACCCCTAATTAGCCCAACTCACCCGGCATCGCAAGCCCTAAGTTTCAGAATAGGTGAGGATAAGGGTGTAGTCATAACCATTAACTTCAGCTGCCTTACTTCCAAATACCTATGATTCTTGCAGTACGTACCTACTCCTCAGCCTTCTGTCAACCCCGAAATGTGGACACCCGAAGCCCGAAACCCCTCTAGAATCCTAGGCCTTAACCTTAACTAGTAACCTTCCGCTCTAAAACCCAGAACAAAACAAAACAAAGGCTGAACCTGTCAGAATGAATCCACATGACAACATCTCAACAAGTTGAAAAGTTTGGTATTGAAGAACTGCAGAAGCTCAAACCTCTGAGCGTCTGAAGCCTTCCCCAGGACATAATGTTCATGTAGTTAGGGCGCCAAAATACACATGAGCAAAAATTAGGATGGGATATCCAATATAAACCCTCTTATAATGAAGCCCATTAAGGTAGGCATATCCCTGTAAAAAGCTTGTGCTTATGTGCTTTTTTGGCCCCCTAGATGGTAGAGGCTCCCGAAACACGGTCGAGAACACCCGCAAGCTTTTTGGGGGCTCAATGGCTGAATCTGTAGCCACGAAAGAATCTTCTGCATATCCCAATTACAGCAGCCCCTGCATTAGACGCTTGGCTGAAAGAGCCCGGCCAAATTACCAAATACCCGTCAAAACAGGGTTAATTAAAGCTCCACAAACCCCTTGTGAGCGAAACAAAAAAACAAAAACACATTGTAAACTTCGCTTCACACCTTTGTAGGGCCTGCAAATATGCGGCCCCCAAACTAAAATTGTAAGAAGACCCGGTGCGAGAGCCTGTCTGGATGGAAGCATCTACCTCGACGCAAATCCTTCAAGTCACGTTAGGCTCAAGGTTTTCCGTTGTGTTTACTTACTTACCGGGTTTAGGGGTTAGGGGTCCCATAAGAGCTGGTATCCGGTTGTTTTCAGAACGGTCCACCCTGGACGTGCAGTTGTTTGCGTTTAGGGTTTAGGGTTTAGGGTTTTTGCACTCCCACAGCGACCCGGACTCCGGTCATGTTAATGGGGCTCTAGACTTCCTGAAGGGGGTTTGCTTGGAGGGTCGGGGGACTTAGTAAGTAGTTATTTTTATAGAGTTATAAGTACGATAACCCCAATTAGGGTCCCCATTAAGGTAGACTAGCCCAAGTACAACTCATACATCATTACAGACAGACGGACAGACAGACAGACAAACAGACAGACAGACGCGCATGCGCACGTGCATGCGTGCATGCATACATAGACCCATCCCTGCATACATACATACATACTCACTTAACTACACACATACACGTGCATGCATATGCCCATGCATCCATGCATCCATACATGCATTACAAGCCAGCCTGCATGCATGCATGCAAGCAGAAAAAACAGACAGACAGATATGTCACTCTCTACACCTAGGGACACTTCTCAGAGCCCTCGGTACCAGAAATCCCGAGGCGTGTGTCGTTTGATAAGTCGAGCGGCTTGTGCTCATGCTACAGCGCGCGTCGAAGTATCCAGCCCCATATATGTAAACCCTTCAGGCGGCCGAAACACAACAAGCCACAGGGCGATGTAAGCCAAAACCACGCCTGTCCATTGTGGTCATTTTTAAGCAAGAACCAGATGGCCCAGCCACTCTGAAGACGCATAAGGTCTACTGTTGGGGGTTTAAGGTTGAGGGTTTTAGGGTTCAAGATTACAGCTTTCGCACCCTCTAGATGTGCAAAGTCTTCACACTACCCATAGGCCAAAAGTAGTTCCTTTTTGGGATTACCTTATAGAATTCTAAATATGAACCCCCAAAAGGAACGACTATGGGGCTATGTAGAGTCCCATGGCCTTGAAGCAACACGGTGTAAAAGCACGCTTGTGCCTGCCCTAAGTCCCATGACTTGAAGCCCTGCGACCTGCAAACCGTAAAGTGCTAAAGCCTTGTTAGGGTTTAGGTTTAAGGGGGGCCCTACCTGGACTCTCCATTGTAATTCCTTTCGGGGTTTAAAGTTTAACAAACTTTATACGTAGCATAACCCAAGAAAGGAGCTGCAATAGAGACAGTAGGTAGAGCCGTATACCCTAAAACCTAAACCCTACACCGCCAGCCTTCATCCCGAAACCTCTTCTATACTGAACTTAGAACCCTAGCAACAAATTTAATTTTAGCTGTTTCTTAGGGATTATAATAACCAAAAATTTACAAATTATTTCTAATTACGCCTATATAAGTCTTTCACGAAGCTTAAAACACAACACAACC